TGTTTTCTGAAGCGATTTTAAACAGATGTTGTACTTCGCCCTATATGAACATGCTGTGTTGTGTTCGACTAACTATTGTTCTGGTGATATTCAAATGACATCACTGGCAAACGGAGAACAGCCACTAGTCGCCTAACGATGATGCTCTAACGAAAATATACTAGGCACATAAAGAAACTGTGCATACAAAAATTTAAAATCTAAATTTATCAAATCTGTGTAGACACATACGGATTTAAACTCAGAGATTAGTGACATGAATCCAACATGCATGCAGGTGCCACGTTCCGTGACGTCAGTGGGTTCGTCCTCGAAACGTGCAATACGTTGTTGCACGTGCATTCCGGGAAAGAGAAACAGAGCAAATGAATGCCACACAATACTGTCACTTTGGTAAGCTCAACCCCTGCCCTTGCGATCGTTCAAAAAATTAAACGGCTATTGAAACGCATAGCATCCCAAGGCTCACGTCTGCACAACGTCATGAGGCCATTGGGATGGCCCGTGGGGGAATGTCTCAACGACACGTGGCTGCACATTTCCACTGCCACCGGAACACCATTTCTGCACTGGTGAGACGCTACCAGAACACAAATGACGTCATCGATCGGCCACGTTCTGGACGTCCACGTGTAACAACGCCACACAGGACAGATGGATAAGGGTGACCCATCTTCGCACAGTTCGACAACGTTTACGTCATCACGGGATCAGACCCAACGTCATCGACAAGCTCGCCGAATGTGGTGCCGAAATCATGTCCGCAGACCCTTGTTTTGGTGGAGAAATGTTGTTTTCACAGATGAGTCCAGGTTTAACATTTCCCATAGTGATGGACGTCAACGTGCCTATAGACGCGTGGGAGAACGTTATGCAGGAATCGCTTTGGTGGTGGTTCCGTGATGATTTGGGGTGGAATAACAGCACGCCAAAGAACTCCTTTGGTGATTGTTCAGGGCAACTTAACTGGTGTGGGCTACAGGGATCAGATTCTTCGACCTGTGGCAATTCCTTTTCTGCAACGTCATGGCCCTGGGTTAACGTTCCAACAGGACAATGCCCGCCCTCATACGGCAAGGGTTGCTATGGATTTCTTGCAACACCACAACGTTGACTTACTGCCTTGGCCTGCAAATTCACCGGATCTCTCCCCGATAGAGCATGTTTGGGACGAGATGGACAGACGTCTACGCCGTCTTCCTCATCCGCCAGATAACGTCCTTGATCTTGCAACAGAACTTGAGAGAATCTGGCGTGCCATCCCACAGGCCTTATTTGCACGTTTGATATAGGCTCTATGCGTCGTCGATGCACTGCTGTTCTCAATGCAGATGGTGGACATACCCGTTATTGAGCTTGTGACATGGTCGTTTGACCCCTGTCCCGCTTGTGGACTCGTGACGTCATTGTGATTGACTTTTCAATTGAAATTCTCCCGATTTGTTATGGTCTCATGATCCCTCCATTAAAGTTTATATGTACCTTTGACATTGTTATCGTACTTATCAACTGGGATATTTTGACAATGCACAGTTTCTTTATGTGGCTAGTAAACTATATTAACGTTATTTCGTCGCTTACTGATCCAGGTAATAGCATGGGATGACAGTGTTTTTTTACATATATACTCCTTAAAGTCTTCATAATAGGACCTTGCACGTCGTCAGTATAAAGCACAGAAACGCTTACACGGACGATATGGAGAGACATGATGAGTGCTGAGTGGTTGAGTTGTTGAGTGAGTGGTTGAGTGAGTGAGTGGTTGAGCGAGTGGTTGAGTGAGTGGTTGAGCGAGTGGTTGAGTGAGTGCTGAGTGGTTGAATGGTTGAGTGGTTTAAGCGAGTGAGTAGATGGTTTCATGAGTGGTGTCGTGAGTGCGCTTTGGGTGGGTGGTTGAGTGAGTTAGCGAGAGTGGGGTAGGGTGAGTGAATAGGTACGTTGTTCGCTGAAACCCGGATATTAAACATGTACAGTTAATAATGTCTGTGTTTGCAGTCAGGATCTAACCTGGGCAACACAATAACATATCGCACGATGTTTTCGATTTACTTCATTTATTTATTCCGCATCTATAAATAAATACCACTTTATTCACATATTTATCTCCCGCATCGCTCGTTACCAAACACACGCACCATCTGGCCGGCAGTATCAACCAGTGGACAGCAGAAGGCCGTGTGTATACAGCACACTCAGGTGCGAACACGGGGACTGATTGAATATATGGCAGCGCGGAGGCACTTTGTCCATTCTCTTTTCTGAACAGTGAAATTTTCAAGGGGGCTATCACCACTACTGCTACGACTACTGCTACTGCTACTACAATCATAAGGGACGGACGTGACCTTCCTGTCTGACAGTTCACAATAAAAAGCTAAATATTAAATAAATTACAAACTTGTTCACTGATACATTGGAAAGGAAAACAGTAGGTTAATCTAAACTGAAATCAAAACAATAACGGGTAACGTTATATGAAGACCCTTAAATATGACACGGTGACAACTGCACGTACGAGACATCTGTTTCAACAATCGATATACATAGGTGATCATCACATGTAGGTCCGTATCCGGGTACCTGAGTTACACGCCACTGAATGTTCGACAGCAAGTACAAGGACTTGATTGAGGCAGACGGCTATAAAGCAGACGGGTCGTACAGTCACGCTGATGTGGATAGTGTTGATATGTACAAATACCCAAGAATTAAGGATATTCCGACATTCAACGCAACAATGGAACCAGGTGACTGTTTATATATACCATATCACTGGTTTCATCAGGTTAATTCTTTCGGTAGCAGGAACCTCGCTATAAATATCTGGCTTACCCATCTGCCTTTCTTCAATGATTCTGATTGTCAAAATGTCGATGTGAACGAACAAACAGTTCCCTTTAGCAAGTATGGATTTGTGAATAAGGTTTAGGAGGGAGAATGTCTTTTTCCTCAACGATCTTCTTGAAATGCCGCATGTTTCCAGGGAAAGGTTCATGGAGTTACTTGTGAAACCAGAAGCAGATGACAAGGACGCCATCTTTGATTTTGTTGACAGAGATGGCGATTCAAGTCTGTCATGGGACGAACTGTTTCAGATTGACGTCAGAGACATTATCAAGCGTTACAGTAGCGCCTTGACAGCACCGCCATCGTTCTTCGATGACCTAGAGCAGGCGTCATTTGGCCACGATGAGCTGTAATGGTGTACAGTTAAAGCGGACATGACGTTAAGGCAAAGTTTAAAAAACATTACAATATACATCTATTTGTGCGCGCTCCAGAATATCTAGTTGTTATCTTACTTATACTTACGCTAATGTGTAAAAGTAAAGTTGTGAAGAGATACAAATTTTGTCATGTGCACGTCGTAAAATATAGAGCAAGGAATGAGGTTTACACACATAAGATCTTCATTACTCTTCATATTCAGAATGTCTGTATTGTGAAGAGATTTCTTTAGTAATTCTGAAATAATTCTACATAATAGCATCTTTATACTGTTAAATATTGGAAAATAAAACATATTTACAGAGATGAATTACTCAGTGTGTCAAGATTTTCTATTATATATTTACCACAGGTACTGATATCTCACTCCTTCCCTCTCTCTCTCTACCTCCTTCCCTCTCTAACTCTCTCTGTCTATCATTATCTGTAGCGTATCATGCGCTAAATGGTAATATATGAAGAACACAACACATATAACCCTTAATGCGACAAACACTGTGATCCCCTATACTTGCTGATATGTCTTGTGTTAGCAAAAACAAAACTGGGAAATTTTGTCAATAAGATTAGTTTTTCATATCTATGATTAATTATCGTTTAATAATGGCCACAAAGTCCATTCCTTTTCAACAGCGCAGCAGACCCCGGGAACCAGGTTGAAACCATTTAACCCCTGTGCTGGTATCTAAGACAACGCTAACTTTAACCTCTGGCAATACATGCTAAATGTAATGAGGAGTCAGATGCTATATCCATGTCAGCATTAAATAAACTTATGAATCTGATATTTTACGGTTGAAGTGAAGATACACCGCCAAATGGTTATGAGTGAGTGAGTTGGGTTTCACGCCGCTTTTAGCAATATCACGGCGGGGACCAACATAAATGCGGGTTTCCCCCCAAAAGGTTAAGATATATAAAATCCCTCACCACAGTGAACAATGCAGAGACCATTAAGTATCTTCACTTCACCTATCCATCAGAGGTCAGAATCAAATGAAACACTTGAGAAATCTGCAGTCTCCTATCGGGATCTGTGCTAAGAAAATCAAAAGGAAGGCAGCCTCTATACCTGGCTGTGCAACAAAAGGAAGGCAGCCTCAGTATACAATCAGCTCAATACCCTGGCTGTCACAGACAACATTTTAAAGCTGAGAAAGAGGTTTCGCCACAATGGGTCTTTACGTATTACAGATTAAATTTAAAACACAACTTTGCCTGATACCTTTTATGTACCGACCTTATAAAGTTGTATGAAAAACGAAATCAGCTCAATTTACCAGATGCTGAGTGGTACTTCTCCGGTGAGAGCAGTGTACATTTTATTTCAATTTCACAGGCGCGAGACAGACACTGTTTTATAATTTATTTGTCTATTTACAGCTGAGACTTTAAGTTCGATACTTAAAAGCCAGGTTTCAGTTGCACACAATGAGTCTGGTAAAATTCAACACAAAATGTGAACTTAACACCAATCAGGCTGTACACCATATTGATTTATGGGTCACAAGACATACATGTTATGATGTCTGTTGATTAAATAAATGAATGTGACGTCATTTGTCATCATGATGCGCTTGACCCGGGTTAGAATGTTGTCTTCAGCAACCCATGCTTGTCGTAAGAGACGACTAACGGGAGCGGGTGGTCAGGTTCGTTGATCGCCGCGTTGGTTGACACATGTCATTGTATCCCAACTACGTAGATCGATGCTCATGGTGTTGATCACCAGATTGTCTGGTCCAGACTCGATTATTTACAGACCGCCGTCATATTGCTGGGATATTGCTGAGTACGGCGTAAAACTAAACTCACTCACTCATGATGCGCTATGGTAACCGCCCTGCAGACCCTGAAACATTTGTAACCAAAACACTCTATGAAAGTCTGTGATACTTGACAAGTGTAGATTACTGCAGATTCAGTAAAATATGAAAGTTAACTGAGTATTCTTATTGTAATGTTTCTGAGAAACCTTATCAACTATCAACTAATTTCTTCTGTAAACTATTTACATTTCAAAGACTAGAAGTTACTCTACCCCATGTTCTACGTGTAGTTGTCACATCTCCGGATCCTAACTCCATGAAATGAACATTATGTGTGGCTGGTGCCACCGGTACAATACGACACCTTTCGTGAGCACAGAGCACTGTCTTCGTGTTTCCATTCAAATAGTTGTCGCTAGTGTTCATTTTGGTTGGCCTTTACACTGTAAGGAATATGTTCCAGTAAATATTAGAGGCTGACCAGTCTCTGCCGCTGACGCTGTGAATATATGTAACACCGGTTATTGATACCATCTTTGGCAATATAGCCTGGATTAGAATAGGTCCCTGCTGTGTAGATAGCAACAGGATAGATCGGGTCGGGGTCAGGCTCGGTGTCTTGGAAGAGTCAGCTGACTGAGACTGCGTGCATCTTTTCTCAAAACATAAGTCACCGGATTGTCTGTCCTGACTTGACAATCTAGTCATAAAACTGGAATTGCGGAGTGCTGCAATCAAGATGGGAATACGAAGTACCAAGCCCTGTTTGAATCCCCCTATTGGTGACAAGTGACCAACCCACTGATGTGGTAATAGCGTTACGCTCTGATAAACACTTACATTGCAGATTTATCGTTAAACTGTAGCTGAAGTTTGCATGTGGTCTATCTACTTACTGTAACTCAACTAGCTGTCCATGACATTAACAAACATAACCAATAAACGATATTAATTTCAATACTTTGATTCTTTGAAGTTTGAAGTGAAAACAATACAACTGTCAATATCTGTGTAGCAAATCTGCAAATTAAACCAGGAATGTACCATTACTGTTTAAATCAATAAGATTTTTGCAGTTTTAATTCAAAATGTATTAACATCCGGCAACTGTAATCCGACGGGTGTTTAAGATATTAGTCACCAGTATTGATAATATCCCATGCAACCACGCATATTCTGATTACATTGTAACGCTGGGAATCTGAATATCAATATTGTTAATGAGTAAGTGTGCATAAGAATGCGAGGTCGCGCCAGCTGGTGTATCAGCTTTTCTTCAAACTTAGTCGTATGAAGTATTGTCCCAACCACCTTTCATTTAAGTAGATCTTGCTACGAGACAGGATCCAGGATTGTGGTTCAGTTAATGTGTGCAGCCATACTGACCCCTGGAGACGTTTTATGCAGAAGACAGGTTTTATATTCATTTGAATGGAGTCGATTTTTTACCTCACTTTTGTCTTCTTCGTGGCCTCAGCGTCTGATCTTCCTGGACATCTTAAACCATTTGGGTCACATACCACTCCGGCGGAAGTTGAGGTAGTAACCGAATTCCCAGAACCTAAAGACTTCTATGAAAAGTATCAGAGAGGAGGAGGCAAACCTGTTCATTTCAAATCCGTTCTGAAAAACGTGGACTTCAAGCCGTTCAAAAGATGGACGGACGATTATTTGAACGAGAAGTTCGGAGAAGAGACGGTTATGGTGGAGAAGTATAAAAAAGAGGTGAGAGATGCCGGAACGAACACGATGTCTCTCCGCAAGTTTCTCAGCGTCTACAAGGAGAAGGACATCTATATGGTTCAGGATCTGCTCGATGTCATGCGTGACGACATGTCCATACCTCGTAGCATTCAATGTGGCGGCTTCCAGAACGTCATGGAAACGGTGGTCCTGTGGTTTAGCAGTGGAGGAACCAAGTCAGTTTTACATTTGGACGAAATGGAGAATTTCAACTGTCTACTAGACGGAACTAAGGACCTTGTGATGGTAGACCGTAAATTCAAAGCGGAGATAGAAGACCGCGGTTGGATGGCTAACGGCGTGTATAGCGAGATGGACGTGGATAAGGTCGATATGGAGAAATACCCCATGGTAAATAAGGTTCAGACTTTCAAAGTGTCCATGGAACCTGGTGACTGTCTTTACATTCCATACATGTGGTACCATCAAGTAAATTCCTTTGGAAACCGTAATCTCGCTGTGAACATATGGTTTGTCCACATCCCTTGGTTCAACTACACGGACTGTGACAACGTGGCCACGCCCGAACAGACGGTGCCCTTCCAAAGATTCGGATTCATGTCGGAATTCAAGCGGGCAAGTACTACCTTTTTAAGACCTTTATTTGATTATCCGGAGGTCACCACAAACATATTCCTCCACGAATATGTAACAGAAGATGTAGATGAAGTGACTAGGGGCGAAATTCTAAACTACATCGACGTTGACAAAGACGGCGTCCTGAGCTGGAATGAACTTCTCAAGGTCGACGTCGTAGCCTTCGTGAAGGAGTTTGAAAGACATCTTAGTGTAGATCCGGAACTATTGGAGAACATTGGCGCCAACCCCTATGGAGGACATGACGAGCTGTGAGGACATCACAGGGTGCCAGGCAGGGGACCAGTCACCGACCATCTGCGTACCCTTTCTTTCAATCTGTTTCCACCAAAAGAAATATAGGTCTTATATGTATCAGATAGAAGCTCTTTTGGAAATTCTCTAAAAATCGATAGAATGTGTTCATCAAGTTAATGAATAGAACACCATGCAACAAATAGTCGTAAGAAGTAAACTGTTTCCTTAAGCTTAGTTAATTATGTCTTCCGTGGAAATTGCATGAGACAGTTTTATACTTTTCATGAAATGACTAAATGAATTGCAAATATATTTTTATATTCACGATATTTTTGTCCAAGGCAAGATATTCGAATAGTTGGTAGAATAATAAAAAATATTTTGGATAAAGTATTGAAATTGTGATAGCGCATTCCTTTAGCTGGGTCACTACTGGTTGTAGCTTACGGTTACAAATTAACTTTTTGTGTAAATTGTACAATTATATTTAAAGTTAACATATTTATAATAATTCACCAACTGAAATATTTTTCCTGGAGTGGTATTTACACAACGGTTTGCTTGTTTACCAATCATGATTTAGTTTGTAAAATAAAAACGTTTAAAGCCACAAGGCGTACGAGTTCACTTCAGTAATATTTACCGAGCAAATGTTATGTTATTAGGACAGGTAAGTGTGTTCTGTAAACTGTAAACGGAACGTGGGAAACGATATCATATTCCGTAAACAGAAACACGATGCATTCCTTTTCCATATTTTGTACATACATGTTCACAGTGATTATTCATATCGATGTCTTATGCTAGTTCTTTCTCGGTAGGTTATTCACTTTAATGATTTACACATCAGCTTCCTCGCCTACTCGACCAGCTGTGTCGTGGCCTCGGTGATCAATCGAGCTGTATAGCAAGCTCGCTGTCGGGATTTACAGACCGTGATGTCAGTAACAGATGTATTCTGCTACAGTGTGGACACATGGCGCCTCTCCATCTGTCCTGTAGGGATCTCCCCCCGCCCCTTTATTTGTGGTAAAATCTGTGACAGGATGTACCGTCTCTGCAACAACTTGCTAGCCTTTTTCCAATACTAAGAAACATAGTAATTATCACATTGTTGATTTCAGAAATACAATTGTTTTCCTATATTGTTGAATTTCCTTTTTTTTTTGGATGTTAATAAATATGTTAATTATCACCTTTTTGAATTCATTAATAATATTAATTGTTTCCTTGTATAATGATCACTATAGTTTTGCTCTATAAATTCAGACAGAACAGTACAGGTGACAGCAATACCACCATCTGGGGAACACAAAAGTGTACTAGTATTCAGAACAGAACAGAAGCTTATTCTCATAGAAACCACACAACCTGATATACAGAACATACAGTGAAATTTAAAAAAGACACATACATGTATATATTCTTTTACAAATTGTTGCTAATTTTAGTATAATTTGATTATAATCACAATTCATAAGATAGACAAATTTGGCAACAGTTGGATTTGAGAAGTAGTATTTAGGTAGACAGGTTTGATGTTGAGAAAGAGAGTGATGGACAGACAAGTAGAAAGTGGAATTCATCACAGACATCTAAATTACATAATGAACAGATTCTATTTACATTTACATTTACCCACAGGCAAAGTGAGCTGGCTTCGCTCATAGAGGAAGACTGGTAATATTCTCTGTGTTGCGGAACCCTATTTGCGCACACTTTGCCTGTGATTTACCCAGTGTCCAGCTTCAGTTGGAAGTCTGTGATTAGTTGTTCTTAATTTTGTAATCCATAATCTAAGATTAAAAGGTAGTTGCAATAAGTATGGTTCTAATTTTAAAATATTCAAAGGTTATTGTCCATGGGTTAAATGAACAGTGGCTTCTAAGCTTTAGTTCAGTAGCAATGGTAAAACTTCAAGAACCTTACCCATCAGTGGCATTAAAAGAGTCATAAGAAACATGTTTCACCCTATCAAAATTGTGATGTATTTTATGTTTTAAGGCAACACAAACGTATGTATATATGATTATACGCATTCTAAGGAAATTCTAGATTATTTATGTTTGGTTCTATGTCTGACAACATCTATTTTGTTCAAATCACAAGAGAAACATCATCTTATAAAAATCTTTATTTACACATTATTGTTGGGAAGCACTAATCTTTCAACAAGATATATATTTAGCTGTCATAAATCAACACAACAACAAATCTGGATCACACAAATGTCATTGAATGTGCCATGATTGGCTGTTTGGCTCACTGAAGCCTGACAGTTAGGGTCTTGACAAACCTATATCATGTTGACACTAAACAGGCATTTTATGACAGAAGATGTACAATGGATATTGGACAATAGGCTGTCAAGTGTATGTAATTTCCAACATCAGCTGAATGAGACAAACAAATAATATTTATAGTTTGCTTCCTACATAACTGTGACAGAATGGAACCTGGTATAACACAAGGAAGGAAGGACTGACTGAGTTTGGTTTTACGCTGCTTTTAGCAATATTCCAGCAACATCACGGCAGGGGACACCAGAAATGGGCTTCACACATTATACCCATGTGGGGATTTGAACCCGGGTCTTCGGTGTGACGAGCCAACGCTTTAACCACTAGGCTACCCCACCGCCCCAATGTGGGGATTTGAACCCGGGTCTTCGGTGTGACGAGCCAACGCTTTAACCAATAGGCTACCCCACCACCCAGGAAGGAAGGAAGGAAGTTGATTAAGCCCATGTATGATGCTGGGAATCAAAACTGATCACATACTGGCATGGTCAAGGGACACAAAATGCTGCATGAGAGTGAAAATTGAACCTAAACTTACTTTAAACAAAACTTATTTCTGTATTATAAGTGCGTGTAGTGTACAGGGTATCAGTACAAACATGTATGACCCTCGCTGGAATGAAGCAATTGTCATAGAAGGGGTTTCCATAGAATGCAAAAACACTTTGAAAATATAATTGGCTGATCTGCTGTGGATAATGCACTCTGAAAACACATAAAATGTTTCAGCACAGTAACCTGAAGATGTTCAGCAACCCATGTTTGTCATAAGAAGCGACTAAAGTGATCAGGTGGTCAAGGTTGCTGGCTTGGTTGCTGCACGACATTGCATCACAGTTGAATGGATAGATGACTATATAAAAATAACTGACATATTCTGTAAACATCTTCCTTCATATATTTGACTTACAAGTCATTATCACAGAATGGTTTAAACACTGCAAAATATCCAAACCTTGCTTTATCTACTTCTGTAATGCTTGCAAACTATTCCCAGTACAACCTTGTAATAATAGCCCATGCTATCAGCATTCATCTAGGCTTTGGTTAGTTCGTTACTTTCTGTGAGAATACCCCAGATTTTAACAGTCTTTCTGTGAGAATACCCCGGGTATTAACTCTTTCTGTGAGAATACCCCAGATTTTAACAGTCTTTCTGTGAGAATACCCCGGGTATTAACTCTTTCTGCGAGAATACCCCAGATATTAACAGTGCCAGACACTACAGCAGCACACTGGCAATGTTTAACTGTATGTCGGAAGTCACAATAAAAGGCTTAGCTTCAAAACGCATGAAACATGCAATAAATCACTGCTCTGTGACATGAATGTACAACATGGACATCAAATCCTGCAATTACAGAATTATAATAATACAAATATGTCAATACACTACGCCAGCTGTTTCAATATACCATAAAGTGTGACATCAGGGCGTATAAAGTATAGTGTTTTCAGCACCACCAAAACATAATTCATCTTTGAACAGTATTCATCCTTTCCACTCACAGAGTATAATTGTACTGGTTTTGTTTGCTTGACTGATCCTAAATGCTCTACTTGAACAATGATTTTCCATTATTTGGAACACACTGACTTGGGCAACACAGCAAGGGTAGGCAAGAGAAACCATGTCACATGACAAACGCTAAATGCATAATGTGGTTGGACATAAGAGTGGGTGAGTGAGTGATTGAGTTTAGTTTTACCGCGCATTCAGCAATATTCCAGCTATATGGCGGTGGTCTGTAAATAATCGAGTTTGGACCAGACAACTCAGTGATCAACAGCATGAGCATCGATCTGTAATTGGGAACCGATGACATGTGTCAACCAAGTCAGCGAACATGACCACCCGATCCCATTAGTCGTCTCTTACGACAAGTATGGGTTACTGAAGGTCAATATTCTAACCCGAACCTTGACGGGTAGTTGGACATAAGAACAACACTGGTATCAACGTATGACAGGAAGAGGGTTACTGCTTACAACCTTGGGTCCATAGGTTCAAGTACTGCAGGGCCAGAGACACACATACCCTAATTTCTAACACTGGTAGCAAAACAGAAGTTAAAGAAAAAGACTACAATCTTGGACTCTGAGCCCGAGGCATTATAAGAGCAAGGGAACATAAACAAACATCGAGGGTACATCAACCCATGGGCCCCGAGGGACCAGTGAACAACATATTTATCTTACCGAACACCTTAATGTTAATTTTCTATTGTTTGAAGCAAGGGTACAAATCTTTTTGTAGCCATCGCTAGATTTTGCGGACAAGAAAAACAGATTTAGAGTTATCTCCCTTCCATCGATTTGCATTCGCAAAACATTGGTAATTTCCGTACATCGTACGTGATTCAATGTTATTCGAGATAAAGAATTACTACCACGAAGTACCAAATGAGTTGCCATTGACAGCGGGGTACATTGAAATGTTACTTGCTTGTAAGCGGGGTACATTGAAAATAATAGAAGAGCGCTCAAGCCAATCAGAAAGCGACATTTATGTGCTAGGTAAGATAAACAATATTATCTCATTTATGCAACATTCAGTTGTGATAACTTACAAAAGTTCAGTGGGTATATACATGATCTAACATAATCGAGCCTGGTGATGATGTATACATGATACACAGAACTGTGCCCTGACATGGCGGAAGCTTGCCCTGTGATGTTTGATGTGTGGTCAGCTTCTACTGGACACAACAGGATGCTGGAAAGGAAACATAAAGTGGTAAATATTAACAACCATTTAAAAAATGTCATCTACTATTCTTTCGCAAATACTTTGCTGATATCAAATCAGTACTATTGATCCATCATCAGATGAATGATGGACAAGGTTTCCTATAAGGGACCATTCATAATTTATAGCTGGGGGTGGGTGGGGGTGATGATGATTTTTAAGGGTGGGGTCACCCATTTTGTTCTGTGGAGCTGGGGGGGGGGAGGGGATCAGCAATTCTGTACATAAAAATATGTTTCAAATTATGCTTAGAAATTATGGGAAGGGGAGGGGTCATTGATTTTGTACATGACATGCAGGGGGGTCACTTATTTTGTACATAAAATTTTTTTTTGGGGGGGGTCATTCACATTGTACATGCTTCTCAATAAAAATCATCATCACTCCCCCTAGCCATAAATTATGAACGGTCCCTAAGTGATCCTTTTATTCAATGCATGGGGGCCTAAACTATTCCTTCAAGAAGTCACTATGCTCTGTTAACTACCGGTATGTCACTATATGCTCTGTGATCTAATCCAGTATGCTCTGTCATCTAAGTAAATATGCTGTAGCATCTATGTCACTACGCTCTTCGAACTAAGTCACTCTGCTCTATGATCCCACTCAGTCAATATGCATCTAACAACCAATAACCCCAAAGAAGTTATGCTATTTTCAAATTAACACTTGCACTTTATCAACTCTGTAGATGTTTTTCACATACGGCCCATATGATCAAGCTCTGTTAATTCTTCATGTGTGTGTAATTATTAAAACCTTGACATATACCCATGCCTAGTTCAACCTGGGACATGAGTAATGCTGGAAGGGTGTGAGCTCACATTATACCAATCTGATGGATGTAGGACACACTGTGGCAGGAATGGTGCACACACCACTGCTTCCTCATGTACTGGCTGTATGTCAGCAATACAGCCACTCCATGAACATGGCACCACTGTGGTCCACAGCCCCTGTGTCTTTGCGAGGATTAAATATTTAAAAACATTGAAAAAATTTGAGATGACCCTCGACTTGAAATGCTTCACAGTACAATACATCATGACAAGGCCTGATAGTTCGGTGTACCCGACCCGCCTGCTTTGCCGATCGCTAAGCTATAATCTCATGTAAATGATTAAAACTTAATGTAAACATAATCCTAGATGATTGGCCTATCAATCACCACTCATGACACCTATCAGTTCTCTGTTGTTATTTCTGCAAGTCGATTGAAACCCGATTTCGACTCTTAACATCTTGACACAAATGGATGAGGATATATCCGCACAAAATGGGGGTGTGGTTGAGGAAAGCCCTCTGGTTGGTTGATGCTTGTTAAGGAGACATTTACAACTGATGCTTTCTTTTGAGAAGCCATTGCTTCAAAATTCTTACATTTCTTACATTCTTACATTTCCAAGTCAAGTAGTCGATGAAAGTAAAAATTCTTGCAAATTTATAAAGAATGTGAGATTTACAAGCTTTGACCAATCATCCTCCATATACAACTTGTACCACTGATGTCCTCAACACACAACTGTGTACAACATCTCCTACAATGTCCTCAACACACAACTGTGTACAACATCTACTACGATGTCCTCAACACACAACTTTGAACAACATCTACTACGATGTCCTCAACACAACTTTGTACAACATCTACCACGATGTCCTCAACACACAATTTTGTACAACATCTACCACTGATGTCCTCAAAACACAACTTTGTACAACATGTACCACCAAAGTCTTATACACAACTTTGTATAACATATACCACCGATGTTTTCTACACGCAACTTTGTACATCTACCATTGTCATCCTCTATACACAATTTTGTACAACATGTACCACCGATGTCTTCTATACACAACTTTGTACAACATGTACCACCAATGTCCTCTACACACAACTTCGTACAACATGTACCACTGATGTCTTCTACACATAACTTTGTACAACATCTCCCATTGTCATCCTCTGTACACAACTTTGTACAACATGTATCATCGATGTCTTCTATACACAACTTTGTACAACATGTACCACTGATGCCTTCTACACGCAATTTTGTACAACAAGTACCACCGATGTCTTCTATACACAACTTTGCACAACATGTACCAATGACATCCTCTACACATAACTTTGTACAACATGTACCACTGATGTCTTCTACACACAATTTTGTACAACATCTACCATTGTCATCCTCTGTACACAACTTTGTACAACATGTATCATTGATGTCTTCTATACACAACTTTGTACAACATGTACCAATGACATCCTCTACACATAACTTTGTACAACATGTACCACTGATGTCTTCTACACACAATTTTGTACAACATCTACCATTGTCATCCTCTGTACACAACTTTGTACAACATGTATCATCGATGTCTTCTATACACAACTTTGTACAACATCTACAATGATTGTCATCCTCTACACACAACTTTGTACAACATGTACCACTGATGTCTTTACACATAATTTTGTACAACATCTACCATTGTCATCCTCTGTACACAACTTTGTACAATACCATCATCGTCATCTTCTATACACAACTTTGTACAACATGTATCATAACAATGTCTTCTTCTACACACACAATTCTGTACAACATCTACCATTTCTGTACACAACTTTGTACAACATGTACAATTTTGTACAACAAGTACCACCGATGTCTTCTATACACAACTTTGTACAACATGTACCAATGACATCCTCTACACATAACTTTGTACAACATGTACCACTGATGTCTTCATCCTTTTGTACAACATCTACCATTGTCATCCTCTGTACACAACTTTGTACAACATGTATCATCGATGTCTTCTATACACAACTTTGTACAACATGTACCACTGATGTCTTCTACACACAATTTTGTACAACATCTACCATTGTCATCCTCTGTACACAACTTTGTACAACATGTATCATTATGTCCTCTACTCACAACTTTGTACAACATTTACCATTGTCATATTCTATACATAACTTTGTGTACAACATTTACCATTGTCATATTCTATACACAACTTTGTACAACATTTACCATTGTCATATTCTATACAACTTTGTACAACATTTACTGATGTCTTCTACACACAATTTTGTACAACATCTACCATTGTCATCCTCTATACACAACTTTGTACAACATGTACCATGTGTACCAATTCTACATTTTTGGTAGCCCATCTTGTAACAAAATGTAACACATAAAGGTTAGCAGCATGAAATTATAAAAAAATAGTCATGAAAATGACGTAAACTAATATGCATTATCTTAACATCAACCAGAACTTATCTGAGAAACATTCTTTGATAATAATATGCCTTTCACAGATGAAAGCAGATGTATATGAATCCTTAATGTAAAAGAGGTTTTGTATGATGATACTGACTTATAGAAATTACTTACAAATTACCATTTCAATTTAAAATACTCATTTACTTTCAAACATCATCTCCTATATCAAGCCATCACAAGCACAAGGAAAGTGATAAATTCATTACACTGTGGGCAAAAGCCCTTCAGGTCGTCAGGCACACATATGATCAAAGATATTCTCAAAAGTCATAAGAGCCAAGAAAAGCCATGGAAACTCATTGGCATGGAGTCTGCAGTGCATTCTCTTTACAAACATATCTTCTGCGATGTAGCCTTCATTACACTGCAACATGACTACTTGACCCCTAGCCTCAGCTCAAAATAAAAGGACTTGATGGGTACAGTTTGGAATACATCTTTGTAGATATAATTACTACTTATGCGCTAGGGTCTCCTCCAACTAATGAGCTTACATGGATACCATTTCCTGCCATCCCCTGTCGATACAATCTCATGAGTTTACCCGTTGATAAAGTGGCATGAGCCTTTCCCTATTGATATATTGATATACCGTTGTATGAACCTTTCCCTATTGATATACAGTTGTATGAACCTTTCCCTATTGATATACCGTTGTATGAACCTTTCCTATTGATATCCAGTGTATGAAGGCAGCACCCTAGTATGAGCCTTTCCCTATTGATATACCAGGTGTATGAGTATTGATATCCAGGTGTATTTTTCTCCTATTGATATACCGTTGTATGAACCTATTTTCCCCTATTATTGATATCCAGGTGTATGAGCCTTTCGCTATTGATATCCAGGTGTATGAGCCTTTCCCTATTGATATACAGTTGTATGAGCCTTTCCCTATTGATATCCAGGTGTATGAGCCTTTCTCTATTGATATCCAGGTGTATGAGCCTTTCCCTATTGATATCCCTATTGATATCCAGGTGTATGAGCCTTTCCCTATTGATATACAGTTGTATGAACCTTTCCCTATTGATATACAGGTTGTATGAGCCTTTCCCTATTGATATACAGTTGTATGAACCTTTCCCTATTGATATACAGTTGTATGAGCCTTTCCCTATTGATATACAGTTGTATGAGCCTTTCCCTATTGATATCCAGGTGTATGAGCCTTTCCCTATTGATATACAGTTGTATGAGCCTTTCCCTATTGATATACAGATTGTATGAGCCATTGATATCCAGGTGTTGAGCCTCTATTGATATACAGTTGTATGAGCCTTCCCCAGTTTTGAGCCCTCCCCATTGATATCCAGGTGTATGAGCCTTTCCCTATTGATATCCAGGTGTATGAGCCTTTCCCTATTGATATACAGTTGTATGAGCCTTTCCCTATTGATATACAGTTGTATGAGCCTTTCCCTATTGATATACAGTTGTATGAGCCTTTCCCTATTGATATACAGTTGTATGAGCCTTTCCCTATTGATATACAGTTGTATGAGCCTTTCCCCATTGATATCCAGGTGTATGAGCCTTTCCCTATTGATATACAGTTGTATGAGCCTTTCCCATTGATATACAGTTGTATGAGCCTTTCCCTATTGATATACAGTTGTATGAGCCTTTCCCCATTGATATACA